TAGATAACATTCCGCTGTACACAGAAAATCCTAAGGAATCCAACAAAAAATTATTACAACTAATAAATGAATTAGCAGGCTTCCAGAATACAAGATCAATTTATAAAAATATGGACAAAAATTAGTGATTTACTGAGGCCTCAGATTTTGCAGAGTGTCTCCTTACTGGAAAACTCTGAGAAAAGTCTTCTTTACCTTCAACTGGAATCTTCTGTCTCATTAATATCTCCTTGAGTAACACATACTGATGCCACTGCTCTCTCATGGCACTCTACATATTTAATGATAGTTATCATAACCTCTCTCTCTTTTCCTGGCTACCTTCTTCATTTTCTTTACATAATATGACTTAAACCTTCCCTTTTTTCCCCTTGATTGTACTCCTAGATAGATTAAAATTTTATCTTTCTCAGACAGAAATTTTTAAATTAGTATAGTATTCCAGTGTCAAGTACAAATAAACCTTCTGGTCTCAATGTGTTTTGGTACCTTACAATTACACTGGGCAGTTCAGACATTACTACGTGCTCTATATGAGTCATATTGAACTCAGGGTGGTTGAATAAAAAAACCTAAGTCACTTTCATATCACTTTGCTGTGTGCTGTGCTTAGTTGCTCAGTCGTGTCTGACTCTTTGCGACCCCATAGACTGTAGCCAGCCAGGCTTCTCTAACCATGGGATTCTTCGGGCAAGAATACTGGAGTGGGTTGCCATGGCATCCTCCAGGGGATCTTCCCAACCCAGGGATTGAATCCAGGTGTCCCGCACTGCAGGTGGATTCTTTACCTACTGAGCCACCAGGAAAGCCTAAGAATACTGGAGTGTGTAGCCTATCCCTTCTTCAGGGGAACTTTTTGAGCCAGGAATTAATCCTGGGTCTCCAGCATTGCAGGTGGATTCTTGACCAGCTGATCTACCAGTTCAGTTCAGTTCAGTTCAGTCATTCAGTCATGTCCAAGTCTTTTGTGACCCCATGGATTGCAGCACATCAGGCTTCTCTGTCAGGCACCAACTCCTGGAGCCTGCTCAAACTCATGTTTCCATCGAGTTGGTGATGCCATCCAACCATCTCATCCTCTGTCGCCCCCCTTTCCTCCTGCCTTCAATCTTTCCCACAATCAGGGTCTTTTCCAATGAGTCAGCTCTTCACATCAGGTGGCCAAAGTATTGGAGCTTCAGCTTCAGCATTAGTACTTCCAATGAATATTCAGGACTGATTTCCTTCAGGAACCCCCAGGGAATCCAACTTTGGAGGCCAGTGGGATTTGATTACAGAGCTTCCACAGGACTGGGGAAACAGACTCTTGGAGGGCACAAACCAAACCTTGTGTGCACCAGGACCCAGGAGAAAGGAGCAATGACCCTACAAGAGCCTGAGCCAGACTTGCCTGTGAGTGTCCCGGAGTAGCCAGTGAAGGTATGGGTCAACAGTGGCCTGCCATGGGGTCAGGGCACTGAATACAACAGCCCTGGCATAAGTCCTTTAGAAGGATGTCACCGTTATCACCATTTGGTTTAGTTGCTAAGTTGTGTCTGATTCTTGCAACCCCATGGACTGTAGCCTGACTGGTTCCTGTCAGGACATTTTACTGACTGAGCTAAGGGAAGCCCATTACCCCATCATAGTTTGGCCTCAGGCCAAACTACAGGCAGGGAACACAGCCCCACACATCAACAGAAAACTGGATTAAAGATTTACTGAGCATGGCCCCACCTACCAGATCCCCCCACAATCATTCCCTCCAATCAGGAAGCTTCCACAAGCCTCTTATCCTTATCCCTCAGAGGGCAGACAACTAACCAAACTGATCACTTGCATCACAGTGCTTTATAACTCAATGAAACTATGAGCCATGTCACGCAGGGCCACCCAAGACAGATGGGTCATGGTAGACAGTACTGAGGAAACGTGGTCCACTGGAGAAGGGAATGGCAAACCACTTCAGTATTCTTGCCTTGAGAACCCCATGGACAGGATGAAAAGGCAAAAAGATAGGATACTGAAAGATGAACCCCCCAGGCAAGTAGGTATGCAATATGCTACTGGAGAAGAGTGGAGAAATAGCTCCAGAAAGAATGAAGAGGCTGAGCCAAAGTGAAAACAATGCCCAGTTGTGGAGTGACTGGTGATGGAAATAAAGCCCTCTACTATAAAGAACAATATTGCATAGGAACCTGGAATGGAAGGCCCATGAATCAAGGTAAATTGGAAATGGTCAAACAGGAGATGGCAAGAGTAAACATCGATTTTTTAGGAATCAGTGAACTAAAATGGATTCCAGACGAGCTACTTCAAATCCTAAAAGATAATGCTATTAAAGTGCATCACTCAATATGCCAGCAAATTTGGAAAACTCAGCAGTGGCCACAGGACTGGAAAAGGTCAGTTTTTATTCCAATCCTAAAGAAAGGCAATGCCAAAGAACATTCAGTCTACCACACAACTGCACTCATCTCACATGCAAGCAAAGTAATGCTCAAAATTCTCTAAGCTAGGCTACAATAGTATGTGAACTGAGGACTTCCAGATGTTCAAGCTGGATTTAGAAAAGGCAGAGGAACCAGAGATCAAATTGTCAACATCCGTTGGATCCTTAAAAAATAAGAGAATTCCAGAAAAACACTTCAGTTCAGTCACTCAGTCATGTCCAACACTTTGTGACCCCGTGGACTACAGCACGCCAGGCCTCCCTGTCTATAATCAACTCCCAGAGTTTTCTCAAAACTTGTAATCTGGGCATTTCCTTTGCCTAGATTTGTGCTTGTACAGGACTGAATGCATTTTTGTGGAGTATGGATAATCAGTATTACAAAAGATACTCTTTTTAATCACTTACTCAGTAAAAGAATTTTCCTGCTTGGTATCTGGCATTTGTGTTTCTCTACAAACCACAAAGTTGAAACCTTTATTTGTAATTTTCTTTGTACAGTATGCCAAATTAATATCAGTTCAGTTCAATCACTTGGTCATGTCCAACTCCTTGTGAACCCATTGACTGCAGCAAGCCAGGCTTCCCTGTCCATCACCAACTTCTGGAGCTTACTCAAACTCATGTCCATCAAGTCAGTGATGTCATCCAACCATCTCATCCTCTGTCCTCCCCTTCTCCTGCCTTCAATCTTTCCCAGCATCAGGGTCTTTTCTAGTGAGTCAATTCTTTGCATCAGGTGGCCAAAGTATTGGAGTTTCAGCTTCAGCATCAGTCCTTCCAATGAATATTCAGGAATGATTTCCTTTAGGATGGACTGGTTGAATCTCCTTGATGTCCAAGGGACTCTCAAGAGTCTTCTCCAACACCACAGTTCAAAAGCATCAATTCTTCAGNGGCTTAAGGCTCAGCCTTCAAAAAACTAAGACCATGGCTTCTGGTCCCATCACTTCATGGCAAATAGATGAAGAAACAATGGAAACAGTGTCAGACTATTTCCTTCGGCTCCAAAATCACTGCAGATGGTGACTGCAGCCATGAAATTAAAAGACGCTTGCTCTTTGGAAGAAAATCTATGACCAACCTAGGCAGCATATTAAAAGGCAGAGACATTACTTTGTTGACAAAGGTCCACTTAATCAAAGCTATGGTTTTTCTAGTAGTCATGTATGGATGTGAGAGTTGAGCTATAAAGAAAGCTGAGTGCCGAAGAATTGATGCTTTTGAACTGTGGTGTTGGAGAAGACTCTTGAGAGTTCCTTGGACTGCAAGGAGATCAAACCAGTCAATCCTAAAGGAAATTAGTCCTGAATATTCATTGGAAGTATCGATGCTGAAGATAAAGCTCTAATACTTTGGCCACCTGATTCAAAGAGCTGACTCTTTGGAAAAAACCTTGATGCTGGGAAAAACCAAAGGCAGGAGGAGAAGGAGATGACAGAGGATGAGATGGTTAGATGGCATCACCAACTTGATGGACTTTAATCTGAGCAAGCTCAGGAAGTTGATGATGGACAGTAGAGCCTGGCATGCTTCATTCCATGGGTCACAAAGAGTCAGACACGACTGAGTGACTGAATTGAACTGACTAAAATGTACTGAAATGAACTACCAGGGTAGCCTTCATATGCCTTTACCAGGTTCTATTTGTATTTCTGGATCTAAAATTTATATATTTATCTCAGTTAACTTTTTTCATATTCATTTGAGCCTATAATTCTAGTGACTTCTTTTAAGTGCATTTCTCTAATACAGAAAAAATCCTCTTTTTTTTTTTAACATCAAGCATATCTTCCATGCCATTTAATGGAAATTGTGAGTACGAAATTCCTAGAAGAGACAATACTAGCAAACTATTGACTGCTTCTCTTCAAAATGACATCAATATTATAATTAGTCTTCCTGTGCATGATTTTTTAATTTTCTATAAATCTACCCAATGATGCTATATTCATCTAGATTTTATCTCTCCAACTTATTATAAAAATATTGCTCACTCATAACAACTTTATAAAATCCTTTATTAAAAATGAGATGGTAAATTTCTTCCAGGAAACACACTTTATACTAAAAATCTCAAAGGTAACATAAAAAATATATATGAAGAGAACCCTGGAAAAGAAAGAATAAAACCAAGGAGACATGGAAATTTACTACTTCACAAAAAATAGAAAATTATTCTGAGAATGTTACAGACCCAGGCAGCTAAAACAACTGATGTTAGTAGCAGTGTAATGAAAGTCACATGCTTGTGATGCATTTCTTTACCTTGTAATGTACGTCTATTCATTTCTAGGAACTAAGTGGAAAGATTAAAACTAATAAAGCATTGTGGAAGGAGAAACAGGATCTAAACTATTTTAAATTCTTATATTATACCTTTCAAACAAATGCAATATTAGCAAAGATGCTTTTCTTCCAAAGTTTATCTATAAACTTTGCAATAAATTTCATCTAACAAGTTAGCATTTTCTATTTACTTGTTTTTTGCAGTACTGTGGTCAAGAAAATAAATGATAAATATTATTAAGTTTTTTCAGTGAGAAAATAATAAACAAATATGAAATACCTGTGGGCATCTGGCAGCACTATAGCAATCTCCAGCTGTGGCAAATGGAACTGCATTTCCAAATATTGTCTGGGCAAAAAGAAGGTCTGTAGCTAGAAAATAATAAATGAAACTCTTCAGCACTGAGACACTGTATTCAAATCTTCATTGACTACAGAGCACACGGTCTTCACATTATATTCTTAAATACATTCATATAATTAACCCAAAACTTTAAGCAAAAATGTTGCACAATTGTCATACATAACATAGATCAGGCTCTCAAATTTTTATTTAACATAAAAATGTTCATCTCAAAAACTGCCCTAGAAATGGCAGGGATATCTATAACTAATCCAGATGTTTTGAAAGCTAAATATATGCTCTATTGTATTTTATATCACAGTGAATATCTAAAATAGATAAAGTGGGGCCAAGGAAAAAAATTAGAAGAAGCATTATTTAAAGATAAATAGGTGTGGAGGCATGGGTTGGCAGGGGCTTACTACAGGGACAGTGGCACTGGAAGGTCCCCTGGTGTAACCCTCCTTGGAGTTTACCATTAACCCTACCATAGAGTCTGTAGACCCCAGGCTGGGTCACCTCAGGCCAAACAACTACCAGGGAGGGAGCGCAAGCCCACCCATCAGCAGATAATTGAATTAAAGCCTTACTGAGCAAGGCCCTGCCCACCAGAGCAAGACCCAGTTTTTACCATCATCATTCCCTCCCATCAAGAAGCTTACATAAACCTCTTAGCCTCATCCATCAGAGGGCAAACAGGAAGAAGAAGAATAATCATAGTCTCAAAGCAGCTAAAACAAAAACCACATTACATAAAATTAATCTCGATGAAAAAGCATAAAATTATGTCCCAGATGAAGGGACAAGATAAAACCATAGAAAAACAATGAAGTGGAGATAGGCAACATCCCAAATAAAAAGAATTCAGAATAATGGTAGTGAAGATGATCCAGGATCTTGGGAAAAGAATGGAGGCAAAGACAGAAGGTGAAAGAAATGCTTAGCAAAGACCTAGAACTAAAGAACAAACAAACAGAGATAAATAGTACACTAGAAGGAATCAACAGCAGAATAACTGAGGCAGAAGAACAGATAAACGACGTGGAGGACAGAACGGTGGAAATCTCTGCCACAGAACAGAATATAGAAAAAAGAATGAACAGAAATGAAGACAGACTAAGAGACCTTGGGGACAACATTAAATGCACCAATATTTGCATTATAGGAGTCCCAGAAGGAGAAGAGAGAGAGAAAGGACCTGAGAAAATATTTGAAGAGATAATAGCTGAAAACTTCCTGAACATGGGAAAGGAAATAGTCAACCAAGTCCAGGAAGCACAGAGAGTTCCAGGAAGGATAAGCCAAGGGGGAACACACCAAGACACATACTAAAGAGAAATAGGAAATTCCAGTGGTTAGGACTCAGAGCTTTCACTGCCCAATGGCCCAGGTTCAATCCCTGGTCCAGGAACTAAAATTCCACAAACTGTGTTGTGTGACCAAAAAAACAAAAAAATTAAAAAAAAGATAAATTATGACAAAGCAATACACAAGAGCTTATAGAGAGAGTACACATATCAATTCATTTAGGGAATTCAAAAACACCCAGCTAAAAAGTGTGCTATTTCTTTGATTCCTTATATTATTGCATTATATTATTATTTCATTCATTTCTATTTTATTTTTGCTAATGGTGTTAACAAAATTTCTTGATTGGCAAAAATGCTGGGGATTCTACATAAAGTATCAAAAAAGTAGAGATCTTGGCTCAAAAATAGGAGAAACCCTGAAGATAAGCTGGCCCAATCACTTTTTCATGCTTAAATCACTAAATAATATTCCAACTAATGTTCATTCAGTCAGTGGCTCTCACCTCTGCTAATGTTGTTTGAAATACTTTTCAAGAAGACTGCAAGACCATTGCATGCCCTAGTGATGACGCCAGTCCCCTAGAGGCTATCCCCAAAGGTAGCATTTCAGGAAATATTTATCATATCTCTAAGGGCAGTTTCCAAACCCAGGAGGCCTTCCGTGGCATGCCAGGTCAGCTTGTACCCAATCATGAGAACAAGTTGGGTGTGTCTTTTCCTACCTGCATGCAAAATGAGCTCATGTTAGTAGCTTAAAATTGGTCATGGTGGGAATACATATGTCAAGAAACTGACAAATACTACAAATCAAACTTTTTTCCTGGTTTTTAAGAGTTGGTTGTTGAACATTTACTCATTGCTTACGCATGGCACTTAGGGTTAGGCTGAGGCAAACAGACACAATTTTCAAATCATCCTTTGCTATGGTCTCCTACACCATTACCTGGATAACCCAAAAATAGCTTTCAAGGGTCCAAAGAAAGCTGAAAGCCGAAGAATTGATGCTTTTGAACTGTGGTGTTGGAGAAGACTCTTGAGAGTCCCTTGGACTGCAAGGAGATCAAACTAGTCAATCCTAAAAGAAATAAATCCTGAGTGTTCATTGGAGGAACTGATGCTGAGGCTGAATTTCCAATACTTTGGCCACCTGATGCAAAGAACCGACTCACTGAAAAAGATGCTGATGCTGGGAAACACTGAAGGCAGGAGAAGGGGACAACAGAAGACAAGATGGTTGGATGGCATCAGCAACTCAGTGAACATGAGCTTGAGCAAACTCCAGGAGAAGGTGAAGGACAGGAAAGTCTGGCATGCTACAGTCCATGGGATTGCTAAGAGTCGGACACAACTGAGTGACTGAACAATAACAGGTCCCAAGCTAAATGCAATTATCCTTTCATGCCACGATTAACATTTCATGCCACCAACCCCCATATTCTGTTAGAAAATCACAGTGTGCGCCTCTTTAATATTCCTCTCAGGTTCTCAGGCTCTCTGTCTTAAACCTCGTCCTTAATAACTTAGACCCTCATCACTTTCTATTTGAACTATTATATTATTAATAATATTAGCTTTCTAATCATCTTCATGGATAAAATTTGTTTTCCCTCCAACTAAGTCTTTTTGTTTATACTTTTACCCCAAAAGTCCTCATAACTTATAAGATAAATTCAATTTATAGTTTAGTATACACTGTTCTTCATGATCTTCTTTCTGGGAAATTCTTTAACAAGCTGCTACCAACATCCATTCAACTTATGCTTAGGCAAAATTGGATGACCTAATCTCTGATGGAACCAAGATGCTTCACCATCCCATGCTGTGTTCAAGATGTCTCTGCCTCCTGAAACTCCATTTTCTCTCTTTGGCTAATACAAATTTGGCTTCAAGATTTCCTCAAGATAGCTTCTTGAGGAAAGTTGACTCATTCAGCAAATATTTCTTCAGAACATATTATGTATTGGGCATTATTATAAGTACTGCAAGTGAATGAAATAGGGCCTGATGGACCCTGAGAGCTACCAGAGAGAGAGATAAGTGACAGAGTAGATACTATCATATATTATAGGTGATTGTTGATATAGGAAAAATAAATAACCAGGAAAAGGACAGGGGAAAAGAAAGTTTAGGCGTGAAGTGGGTCTGGGATGCATTCATTGGGAAAGTATATTTAAGCAGAGACCCAAAAAATACTAAGTGGTAAATCCAACATATAACTGTGGGTCAGTCATTCTAGGCAGATAGAACAGAAAGTGCAAAGACTTTAAGGAGGGATGGGGTAGATGCTTGATGTATTCAAGGAACAGCAATGGGACAGGTGTGTCTGAAGCATTTCATGCACGGGAGGAATGTGGAGGGAAGGAGCAGAAAGGTAATGGGTTGGGAAGGTCATGTTGAGTTTTACTGGCCACTGGCAAGGTTTTTATTTTACAGGTTAGATGGGAGATGTTTGGAGAATTTTGAGCAAAGGTTGGAGTTGTTAAAAAGACAAAATGAGATCATGTGTGAGGTATGACATGGCTTATGTTTTATGGATCACTCTGGCTTCTCTGCTGAGAAGAGAATCTAGGTCAGGAGTAGGAGGAAAGGTGAAAAGGAACTTGAGTGCTACCAGAGTAAACAGGGATGCTGCTCCATAGGCATAACAATTCAGGTGGAAAAAATAATACAGACGTCCATCAAGGTGGTAGCTAATGAGGTAATGTCAAAGTGGGACTTGGTTTGTGTCTTAGCTTAAGCTGCCCTAGCAAATTCCTAGATTGGGTGTCTTAACAGAAACTTATTTCTCCCAGTTCTAGAACCTAAGGTCAGGTGCCAACATCATCAGGGTCTGATGAAAGGCCCCTACCTGGCTTGTAGAACTTGGTAATGAATGGCATGCAGGTGTGAGAGAAAGGGGGGAGTTAAAGATGTTGCTGTGTTTCAACAGGAGTAACTAGGAGATTATAGTTGCCATTTATTGAAATGATAAAAATTAGGGGTAGAAGGAGTGGTGGTGAAGAAACACTTCAAGTTGAGTTGTGGATACATTGTCAGATGCCTATTAGATGTAGGTATGCTGAGAAGGGAGTTGAATCTTGAAATTCAGGGCAGCAGTCCAAATTGGAGCTATCCATTTGGGACTGTCATTTAATAGATGGTGTTTGAAATCTGTAAGTTGAAAGAGACCTCTAAGGAAATGATGGAGTCCTGAATTTCTTCAATACTCATTGTTGTAGAAGAGAAAGAACCAAGTTGAGAAACAGTGAGAAAAATGGAAGAAAGAGTGACCAAGACAGGCACCAAATGATGAGTGTGTGGACTCCTGGAAGCCAAATGCTGCTGATGGATCAAGTGAAATGAAAACCAAGAATTTTTCATTGGATTTAGAGAAATGGAGGGAAAACTGGCGATGTACGAGAGAAAGGAAAGCTTGCTGAAATAATGTTCTGGAGTTGGTTCAAAGCAAGAAACCCAGAGCACAAGTAGAGAGGGCTGCCTCAGATGGGAGTGGGAATAGTTCATCCACAGTAACCAGGAGAGAAGGCAAAGTCTACAGGTCAAGGTTTAGGTGGGTTAGTAGTTGTGATGTTACCAAAAGTGGGATCCAACTGCTTGCCACTCTAAAGCCAATAGTCAAGGGTGGTGAAAAGGAAAGGTTGCTTATTTCAGAGGCCAGCAACCAGAGGATTGGGCAGGCTCCTATCCACAAACCAATTCCCCCACCACTGACAGTCAGTGGGCAAAAGCTTTTATAGACAAAGGGATGGAGCTACAGGCAGAAACAGCACAGTCAGCTCTCAGAGTGGAATGAGTCGTGCAGTAGTCTGATCAGAGTCATCCTGATTGTTTTAAGCACAGTTAGTCTTTAGTTCCAGGCTTTCCAGGTGATGCTAGTGGTAAAGAACCTGCCTGCCAAGGCAGGAGACATAAGAAACTCAGGTTGGATCCCTGAGTCAAGAGGATCCCGTGAAGGAGGAAATGGTAATGCACTCCAGTATTCTTGCATGGAAAATTCCATAGACAGGGGAGCCTGGAGGTCTAAAGTCCATGGGGTCCAAAGAGTCACACACGTCATGCACACACACACACACACACACACACACACAGTCTTTAGTTCCAGGATCAGCTTCTTCCCATTTCTTTGAAGCCAGTTCTCAAAAATTGTGGCAGCTTATGTGACAGCTACAGTCTGATGATCATCATGTAGTTATCTTCTTCAACCTGGTGGGAGTTTCAGTATCTGTAAGACACCTCAAAGGATATGGCTCAGAATATTATCTGTAGCCCTTGGGAAGGAACTAAAGATCCTTGACTTTGCTTGATGACTATTGGTCTCCTTTGACTGTTTTCCTTTGTTTCTGCATTTTCTCACTTCTCTGATTAAACTTACTCTTCCGCTAAAGTTTCTCTACAGACAGAAGGCAGGCTGAGGACATGAAGGGCAAGGACTAGACAGGGTCCTGCTCCATTTCAGTGGTGGTTTGCAGAAATTCCATTCTCATGGTTCTTAGTTTCTCAGTGAGAGAGGAAAGAAGATCATCGGCAATGAGGGACTAGAGTGAAAGTATCAGAAATTTTAGAAGCTTGAAGCTGGAGAAGAAGCTGTGAGTTAAACATTGAGAGGAGTGGGGAAGGAATGGAGTAGGGTCCATGCAAGCTCAGGAGTCAGCATTTAAAGTATATCAGTCAGGAGGCCTGTGTATTATTTGCCATACACAGATTTCATGGTGCAGATGCAGAGCAGGTAAAAGGTTTAATTTAATCAAGCCTGGGGCTTTGGCACACCAGTTTGGGAAGGACAAAAGAAAGCAAGTGGAAAGTATATACATTTAATATTGTATCTTCAGAGCCCAGCCCAATGCCTGGCAAAATGGCAGGTTTGTTAGATAAATGAATGAAAAATAAAATGCTGTTAATGAACAGCAAATAAGTTCCTAAATGTCCATTATTTACTCAGCAATGCTGACACAGCATGTATTATTAAATAATGACTTTATTTATGGAGCACTTACTACCTACAGGGAATTTACTAGGTATGTTGCAAGTATTATCTCTTAATTCTATCAAAAAACAAAAAATAAATAAATAAAAGAAGGAAAGAAAACATAAAAAGAAAGAAAAAGCTTGAGAGGCATCTTACTTTAGAAAAGAGGGGATTGAGGCTTAGAGAGAGATGTCCAAGGTCACAGACTAGTAAACGAATGAAGAGAGCTTACACTCAGGAGGCTAACTTCAGTTTATGATCATATCCAAAGCAGCATCATCCTTCCCCACTACAGTAACGGTGGGTGTTTAGCAAATGGTAGCCACTATTACTGACAGTAATAGTTCACCATCATATGACTGCAAGTTAGAGATTACGTATTCGTGCATTCACTGTCTCAACAAACTTTTTTGTTTCTTTTTATGACTTAGGCACTATGCTAGGCTTTGGTGATTTAATTTTGATTCAGAGTTTCTGCTTCTGAAATGAACTTCTTTGCCTTTTCATGTCACTATGTAATATCCAGGAGGGTAGACTGTCTGCCGGTCAGTGTATGTCAGGGTTCATAAATATACTTAAACTTTACTGTCCTATAAATTGCTTCCTAGAAAGGCAGCAGGCCCATAATCTGGGGTGGGTGGGAGGGACTTAATCTCTGCAATGCCAGTTACTAACTCCAAGAAGTGGGGCAAGTCACTTAATTCTGTGAGTGCATCTTAATTTTATCACTTGCAACAACATGACGAAATACTGCCTTATCTAGTATAAGGTTGCTTAAAAAAATCAAAGGAGACAAAGTATAAGAAAATATTAGACAAATTGTCACCTGAAACTAACGTTAATTATTACTTTAAACCTTTGCAGAAAGCTTATACGACTACATCTAAAATATTGATTTCCTTATTTTTAATGTAATTTGGAATTTTAGGGTAGAGGGTTCTGTCTTGGAAGGGTGATATCTTTACTACAACAGTATCTTTATTAATAACAGTGTCATTACCACATTTTTATGTGGTATCCCCAAGGTCCATGTTATTGCATTGAAGTATGTAGCTAGTAACATTTTTTTTTTTATTTTAAGTAATTATTGTACAATGCTAGACCCCAGTTACCACATACACCATATAGTATACTGTTAAACTTGCATTAGCAAATAAATGTTTCTCATTTTACAACTAGAGATTCAGTACTTACTTTTAATTTGCATGGAAGTAAGATCAATTCTTATTTTGCTAAAAACAGTGTGGCCAGCAGCCAGATAGTCATTTTTACATTCACAGTCTTGCCTCCTGCTTCCATTAAAAGGACATTCATATGGATTTCGTAGTCTATAACAACATTAGGATATTTTAATGTTAGGTACAGTTATTAGACCATAATGTAAATAGTAACTTTGGAAGTGGGAGGGAAAAAAGAAACCCTCTTCAATATTTTTTGTGTCAACAAGCTAAATGTGAAAGAAGTAAAAATCACTCAAGGTTAACATACAAAATGATCAACGGGAAATTCAAGACCAGTTTGTAGAAAAATAATTCAGCTGTAATTCTCCTAGCTTTTGTTACCGGAATCAACTTGATTTCTATGAAAACATACACAAGGCTTAAATTCTACCCTCCTCTGTCATCCCATTGCTCACCCACAGCATCCTTCTTATTCAGTCTTTCTGTGAGTACATGTTAATACCCAAAGTTTAATTACTGAACAGGCATGGGCAACATCTGGCTTATGTCCTAATATGTCCACCTGCTCTTAAATTACTTGTCCCGCTGCGAGTTATTCAACTACCACTCCAAACTCTGGAACTTCTAATTCTCTTGATGGACCATAAAAATGCACAGAGAAGGCAAAATACAGCTCATACCTAAAACCATACACTTCAGAAAAGTTGTCTTCTTCACCTTTGACCAATGATATATATTCCTTAGGGTTCTGCAAGTGCATGCCAGCACAATAGATCTAAAGGGAAAATGCAAAGATCTGGAAAAGCTTGTTTCAAGTCAATGGTCAGTGTTAAAATCAAATAGGAACTGTTTACATAATACCTTTGTTATTCTTCCTTTAATGTTAAGGTAATAGTCACCATCCTTGGTAATGTTGTTTTTCACTTGTATTTCTTTACAGCTGGTAAATGTTTTACCTTCAAGGACAAATACAACTTATCAACAATGAACATATTACAGACACAACATGAATTTAACTTAATTACACCACTATTGTTATATTCTGAAAAAATAAACTTTCATTTTGTGGAGTGTATGACTACTCTAAATTTTTTTTTCAAATTTGCATTAAAACTTCTTTAGAACACTTAGTTTCTAAATAGATTTTTGAAGTCTTTACTTACAGTCACTGACATAACATTTCTTTTGAGCATCTGGTTTTAAATGCTTTAAACATAAATCACTGGACAGACCATTATTGGCCATGCATTCCACTCTTCTCTCCATCATCCCAACTCCACAAGTCACAGAGCACTGTGAATAGAGTAAAATTGGAAGGTAAACTATAAGACGGATAATAAGGCCAGTAAATACACATCTTCTCCTCCCTGACTAGGTCCTTTTGGAACAAACTGATGATCAGTAATGGCCAGGAGGCTGGAGAGTCACAGGGAGTCTAATCCTTAACAGACTGAATCTATTCTTTCTCAGTTACTGACTTCTTTCCCTTCATTTTGTATAGTTACCTCAGCAGTATGTTGTAAATACTTGATAAATATTATTTAATGATGGTTGTTCAAACTCCTGAGTTTTTACTCAGTGATACATGTTAAGTTTGCATAGCAATATTTACCTGCTTACTATCAATTAAATTGGAAATGGAACAGGGTACAAATAACCTGTATTACTCATGTGTTAAATTTATTTACTTTTTCACTGAACTAAAAAATTCTGCCTAAGTATCTGCTCAAAATGCAAGCTACTGTGCCAAGCTCTCTGAGGAACAGACACAAGGATTAGTTATAAAGCAAGTTATAGGAAACATAGAGACTAAATATTTGTACAAATAACTGACATAGTGATTGTTAGAAAATAGGGGCATGAGACAACTCTGATATCTAGATAGATTTGCAGATAACCATGCACCCCACAACTAGAAAGTCTCATTCACAAGATTTTAAATTCATAATTACATACTGACCTTGCTCCATTTTCCAACTTTCCAAGTGGCCATATGCAAACAGGTCCTAAAATTGCATTTGTAAACCTGAGGGGAAGGCAGCACAGGACACAGTCGATAGTCTATGGGCCACAGCTCATGAAGCTTGTGTTTCTCGGTAGATTGGACCCCAATGCAATACGTAATCCTTTGTCGATAACTAAATCCACAGTTACCTGCACACTGAAAAATACAGTGTTAGAAGGGGTGAAAAGATGTCTTTAAACTTAACTAGGGTTCACTACTTAGGGTCTCCCCACACAATCCTATTTATTAGCCTCATTTACAGATGGGTAAACAAAGGTTCAGAGACAGTAGGCAACTTGCCCAGTAAATGGAAAGGATCCAGATTCAGGACTGACTGTCTATTTGTAGTGCCTATGTTTTTTCCTTTTTTTTTTTCTTTGCTTATTCTTCTTGTTGATATTTAAGAACCACTTAACTGAATGAAAAGTTATCTCCTGATAAGCACAGATTTGGAAAAACAAAACATCAGTGGTTCTTAACTGAAATAAAGGACATTGATTAGTCTTAACACACTTGTAATTCTATATAAGTTTAGCATACATCTATCTTCATAGACACAATGTGATGTATATTGCCATTGACTAGAATAGGTAAGTGATTTAGATATAAATGAAAGATCCAGAGCAAAAATGGGCAAATAGATTTCTGACTCCAGAAAAAAGGAATAACAAGGAATAGAGTTACCGTCTAACCTAAAACAACAGAAACACCTGGGCAAAATACATAAAACAATAGCTCTTAAGACACTGGATATTAGGTGGTAAAGGATGGTGATCCCTGGGAGGTGGAAACAAAGTGACCCTGTAATTCCCCCAGCTTCCTGCCTTGAGACAGCACCCAGGTTTTGGAACAAGGAAAGGGATCCCAGTGGGACAGCAGAGTTCAGACTAGTGTAAACGTGTGAGGACACCAACTGAGGCCAAGGTTGGACTGATTAAAAACTCGTGAATCACTGTATCTGGCACTCGCACAGGACCAGATATAGTGTCAGTTCCCTACATTCAGACTGTAAAACCTTATATACATGCAGCAATGGGTACCGTATTCAAAAGGGTCTTGTGGCACAGTAGAGGGGAATGGCTAACCCTAGACTAAGCAATGCACTGTGCAAGCATGCTAAGTCACTTCAGTCATGTCTGACTCTTTGTGACCCCATGGACTTAACCCTCCAGGTTCCTCTGTCCACGGGATTCTCCAGGCAAGAATACTGGAATGGTTTGCCATGCCCTCCTCCAGGGGATCTTCCTGATCCAGAGATCAAACCTTAGGTCTCCTGCATTACAGGCAGATTCTTTACCATCTGAGCTACCAGGGAAGCCCTAAACAATGCTTTGGGATTTTTTTAAGGTAAGACCAGTGTCACAACGCACCTGTCTCACATAAAAAAACTGTAAGAGCTAGACAAGAGCAAACTGCTTACAAACAAAACAACTACATTCTGGAACAAAGTTCAAAATATACAAATAGATACAGGAATAAAAACTATCCAGTAAACACAAAATCAAAATTCACAATAAAAAATAACTGGCATGCAAAGAGACAGGAATATATAAACTATGATGAGAAAAATCCATCTATCAAAGCAGACCCCGAGGGGTGAGTGATATCAGTGAAAATAGCAGAGCAAGGATTTCTGAAAATATTCTCTTTTATAAAGGCAGTAAGAAAACTGGCAAAACTTGTGAAAATCAACTTTGTCTGAGCTCTGTAAACTAACCAAAGGCTTGTAGCAATCCTGGAAGCATTTATTAAAGAAATAAAGCTAAATCTTGGTAAGAAGAGTTTTGTATGTTTTAGTTTGCCCTATTCCCATTCCCCCTCTTCAGCCCTATCGTGGCCTTGAAAATCAATATCTCAGCAAACATAGTGTGGAACAAAAGCCTGGAAGCCACCAAAGGAACTGAACTGTCTAAGCCTCATTTCCAGAAAACTATCATTATTTGAACTGTTTGGTGGTTTTCTGAAAGACCTCCCTTGCAAGTCTCTCTTTATTTGACTTTACTCAGCACTTGCCCAGTGCTAAAAGCCTTCTCCTTGGGGGTATTCTTGGACACAATTAGAAGGCTATGTTTAACTTTGTAACTTCCATAGGAGGTGGATAAGCAGGCAATCAATGGGCAACCCAAAAAAGCTTAAAAGCAAAAGCTTGGAAAAGAAATGTCCATGGCTTTAACGGCTCCAGCAGAGCCATAAACAACTAGGAGGCCATGGGCATCCACAAGTTTATCCAGGGCTGCCGCAGACTTAGGAAATAACCGAGAAGTGCCTACACTCGGACTCCTGACCGATGTCAAGGTTCTGAGTAAGCAGGAAGTCAAGTTAAGGAACAGTTGTCTGTTGAAGGGGCTCACACACTTACACAGAGCCCCTTGGCAAAGACTGGAGATTATTGGCTCCAAATAACTCAGAAAATAATTACCCAGTCATAAGTTTAAAACTAATCACGCAGAGACTTTAGTGACCACATGTGACAAAGAAAACAGACGTTACAGCTAGTTCAGAAAAGTCACAAGCAACAACAAATAGTAGTAAACAAACTATCGGGAGATGGGAGAACATGTAAAGAAAGCCATGTAGACCCATAAACAAGTAAATAGGTTGAACTAATATAAAAAATTTCATGCAACCAAAAATCCAGGACTAGAGGCTTCATTGGTGAATTGCCCCAAATGTAGAGAGAAGAATTAACACCAACCCTTCCAAAACACAGAATAGAAAAGAATACTTCCTAATGAGACCAGTATTTCCCTCATGCCAAAACTAGATGAAGATGTATCAAGGAAGAAATACTACTGGCCAATATCTCTTATGAACATAGATGCAAAAATGCTCAAGAATACACTTAACAATCCCAGAAGCAAATAAAAAAGATTGTACATCAAGACAAAGCGAGATTTATCCCAGGAATGTAATATTGTTTCAATATATGAAAATCAATCAATAGACTACATCACAGGAATAGACTCCTATACAAAGATCACAGAAGTATCGCAATAGATGCAGAAAAAGCATTTAACAAAATCTAACACATTTTTATGATATAAACACTAAGAAAACTAGGTATATAAGGACGTGATAACAGAATATACAAAAAAATTCATAGCTAACATATTTAATTATGAAAATTGAAAGAAAATTTCCCTCCAAAGAGGAAGGTATCTGTTTTTACCACGTCTACTCAACAGATTTAGAGTTCCTAGCAATTGAAACTAGGCAAGAAAAAGAAGTTAAAAGCATCCATATTTAAAGGAAGAAGTAAAACTACCTGAATTTGCAAATGATATACTTCTGCATATAGAAAAGGAATCTACACAAAAAAAGAACTGGCCTCCATGAATGTGTTTTAACATATAAAAATTAATTATATTTCTGCATATTATAAATGGATAAGCAGAAAATGAAAAGAGTACAATTCCATTTTCAGAAACATAAAAAATTAATAAAATTCTTAGGAACAAAATTAACCACAGAAGTGTAAGGTCTGCACAATGAAAATTATAAACTTTAAAGCATCCTTGAAAGAAATTAATAAGACCTAAATAAGTGGAAAGACAGGTCATGATCATGGATTAGAAGACACAATTAAAATGGCAATATTCCTCAACTTGATCATGATTCAATGATGCTGAAGTTTACACACAACATGACAAGCTGATCCTAAAATTGACATAGGAATGTAAGGGACACAGCATAAGCAAATAATCTTGAAAAAGAAAAGAAAAAATTTGTTCCCTCCAGTTCCTGATTTCAAAACTTACTATAAAATTACCTTACTATGAAACCATGATTATGTGGAACCAATATAAGGATAGACACATAGGTCAGGTAACTGAATTGAGAGTTCAGAAATAACTCTTCAATAACAGATAATTCAATGCAGAAAGAATAATTTTTCCAAAAATTGTGTTGAAACATCTGAATAGCCACATGCAAAAGGAAAAAATTGGATCCCACTTCACATCATATACAAAAACTAATACAAAGTGGATCACAGACCTAAATGTAACAGCTAGTTATAAAATTCTTAGAAGAAAACATAAGCTTTGTAACCTTATTTTCTTAGATATGATACCTAAAGTATAAGTGAACAAAAATAAATCTGATTTCATCAAATTAAATAAATTTTTATGTGAAAAGACACTAAGAAAATGAAAACACAGGATGAAAATTTACAACACAGAAATACAATAATCATAAAGATTACTACAAACAATTATATACCAACTAATTAGGCAACCTAGAAGACATGGATGGATAAATGGATAAATTTCTAGAAATGTACAGTCTCCAAAAACTGAACCAGGAAAAAACAAAATATATGAACAGACTGATTACCAGTAATGCAATTATATCAGTAGTAAAGCTGCTCTTAAAAAACAACAATCCAGGACCAGACTGCCTCACTGGTAAATCCTACCAAACATTCAGAGAAGAGTTAACATCTATCAATTCAAAATATCTAGCTATTCAAAATATCCCCAAAAATGGATGAAGGAACACTTTCCAATTCATTCTACAAGACCAGCATTACCTTGATACCAAAACTTACAAAAACTAGACAAATATCTCACACATACACACACACATACATACACACAAATACAGGTCAATATCACGGATGAACATAGATGCAAAAATCCTCAACAAAATATTAGCAAACCAAATTCAAGTGAAGTTTAGTCCAGGGACACAAGACTGTTTCAATATCCACTAATCAACATGCATGATACACCACATTAAGAAAATGAAGGCTAAAAATCATATGACTATCTCAATAGTACAGGCAACATACCTAAATATATTAATAATAAAAATTATATATGATAAACCCATAATTAACATCACACTTGATGATGAAAAGTTGAAAACTTTTCCTCTCAGAACAGGAACAAGTCAAGAATTNTATGTGTCTGTTTTTGTGCCAGTGTCATAAAAACAGACACATACATGAATGGTCCAGAACAGAAAGCCCCCAGATAAATTTACGCTTATGTGGTCAATCAAACAACAAAAAAGCTAAGAATATACAATGGAGAATAGACAGTCTTATCAATAAATGGCATTGGGGAAACTGGACAGCTGCATGCAAAAGAATGAAACTGGACAATTTTCCTACAACTTATACAAAAATAAACTTAAAATGACTAGAGATTTAACTATAGTGCCTGAATCCATCAAACCCCCAGAAGAAAACATAGGTAATATATTCTTTCATACCAGGCTTAGCAGTGTTTTTTCTTTTTTTGTATATATCTCCTTAGGCAAGGGTAACAAAAGTAAAAGCAAATAAACGGCTCCTCAGCACATTAAAAATCTTTTACATAGCTAAGGAAACTATGAACAAAATGAAAAGACAGTCTACTGAATGGGACAATATATTTGCAAATAATGCATCTGATAAGAAAATACCAAAAATAAATAAACCTACCCAACTCAGTATCAAAAAAAAAAAGCAAACAATCCAGCTACAAAATGGGCAGAGACTCTGAATAGATACGTTTCCAAGGAAGAAATACAGATGGCCAACAGACACATGAAAAAATGTTCAGCATTATTAATCATCAAGGAAATTCAAATCAAAACCATGATATCACCTCATACTTGTCAGAATGACTATAATCAAAAAGATAATAAAAAAATACAAGAGTTGGCAAGGATGTGGAAAAAAGGTAACCCCCATGCACTTCTGGTGGAGATATAAATTGATACAGTCACTGTGGAAAATATTAGAGTTTCCTCAAAAAATTGTAAGCACAATTACCATATGATTCAGGAGTTTAATTTCTGGATATTTTTCTGAAGCAAATGAAAACACTAACTCAAAAAGATATATGCACCCCAATGTTCATAGTACCATTAATTCCAACATCCAAGATATGACAGCAATCTAGTTTTCCATAAATAAATAAAGAAAGAATATACTTCATATATATACCTTAAACTTGTACAGTGCTGTGGGTCAATTATACCTCAATAAAACTGGAAGAAAAAAAATTTTTAAGCAGCCAACTAGGCAGGGCCAGCTGCCAAACAATCCCAAGTAGTTGGTTTCACAGTTATCACCGCTTGACACTTCAGAAATGCACCAGAGTTTAACATGCATGTGACTATTCCTGTATTTGCACCATCTAATCTCCCAGCGCTTTTAATCCTTAGGTTAATATACACACTGTTACCTGCTCCCATGTTCAAATTCAGACCCAGTTTCAACTGTATCAAATTTGAGACTCAATTTTACTTTCTAAGAGTGAAAATCCTCAACTTCCTTTCTTTGCCTTACCTGGGACGAGTCTCCTGTTACCACGATATACTTGCAGGGAGAGTTTCTGCACTTTCTCATCGCGAGAGGTCTGGCTGCGAGGTCACAGAAACTCTCACTCACTTGATTGTTTTGTGCATCCATGCACTTGACTTGCCGATATGTCTCTCTCTTCTTACACGATATTGAGCACTAGAAATACAATGATGAAGTGAGGAACACTCTCTCGCGGAACGGCTGGGTGAAAGTTTACTTGACAATACTCACATCTAACCACTCTCCTGCCACCCAGCGGTACTGTATGCAGTCCCGACGCCAACACTCTCTCTGAAAATAAGGCCGCGTGGACGGATCACACTTTTCTTCCGCCACGCGACCAACTCCTCTCTGTCTGCAATACACATCTCTTTGCTGAACTCCGGAGCCGCAGGTCACAGAGCACTGTGAAGAAACCCAAACGATTTAAATCATCAACTAACAAATATCAAATTATGTAAAAAAAAAATCACAAAATAGAGTCATGACCTATTTTCTTGTTTCTTTTAACATAGCCTGATATTACATCACGAATAAGAAAATACATGCAGGAAGTATTCTTAACATTGTCCGGTCTGGAGCAGCTATTCGAATACACAAATAGATGTTCTTTATTTTGCAATACTTATTCAAGTTATATAGAAGGTTTGACCTGATACTCCATCCGAATTGGTAATTCTCTTCTGACTTAAACATGCTAAACATCTACAAAATTTGCCACAACATTCAATCAAACTATTCTACTATTACATTGCTTTTGAAAATTATTTAAATCCTTACACCGTATGCATAATTTCCCTCAAAGCAACAATAATTTCCAAGTTTGGGTTCTATTCATCTTTATACCTACAGTAGGTACCATAGCTTGGAAGTCCAAATATTTGTTGACTCATGATTCTATTTCAATAGAGAGGTGTTTGAGGAAACTGCCTCAATTTACAGTTTACCTAGGCAACCTTGCCTTAACCTCTCCAGGTATCATTTGCCTTATCTGCACAAAGAAGATTTTGCGTTGTTTGTAAAATTTCATAGAACTAGTCCCACACTTACTCTTGACAGTAGATCTCCAAAGAAGTACCAAGACTGAAGTCCTGAGACTCAGAGATGTTAAGTCACTTGCCTGAGCTGTTGCCTGGNGGTTTCATCATGAATTTTGAAAAAGCTTTAAAGCCCCAAATGTTAAAAAATTTAGTTTACTTGATAGATTCAAATTTCTCTTATAGACTCTTATAGCAGTTTTACTCTAGACGCCCCTTTAAATTTAGTTTTTTGTGTTGTGTCTGTAAATAGCAACCACTGACTCAAAAGAGAAATTTTATATTATTTTTTAACTTATGAAGAATATTCTGCATATCTTATACATGCATGCTAAGTTGCTTTAGTTGTGTCTGAGCCTTCATAATCCCATGGACAATAGCCCACCAGACTCATCTGTCCATGAGATTCTCCAGGCCCTCCTCCAGGGGATCTTCCTGACCCAGGGATCGAACTCATGTTTCTTATGTCTCCTGCATTGGCAGGCTGGTTCTTTACCACTAGCACCACCTGGAAAGCCCGTAGGTTACTTATACTAACCCTCAATTAATGTTTTTGCAGTTGAATTTTGCCAACTTATTGAATGTTTTATTAAAAAAAAAAGACATGACTCCTTTGTATGCAGATAATAATAATATATTATTTTGTGTATTTTGTCCAGGGCACAATTTTAAGCCCGCAAAGATGTTGGGATGTGGTTTTGCTTATTTGAACCTCTGATGAAAATGTTTAGCCTATAAAATAAGACTCCTGCAAACACTTTCCAGCAATAATTACAGAAATATAAACTATATTTAGAAAATTTTCTACCTCTAAACCTGAAAAAAAAATATTACTGAAAAAGAAATTCACAAAAGGCAGCTTAGTAAAAAGTTTTGTCAGAGAAATATAATATTGTGTTATTCAATAATCCAAGTTTCTGATTGATCCTGACTGACCATGGCACAGGTTTAGAAGGCCTCCACTGAGGCCATGAGTAACTACTATTGTGGAGCTCATCCTCAAAGGTAACAAACCAGCAAACAAAAAAATGAAAAAACTGGACTATTGGTCTACTGCTTGCATTTCTTTTCTTTTTTTTTTTAAGAGAGAAGACTATAAAAGAGTAAACTAATGTATTTCAGATTTGAACAGAGAAGAGAATCCATTGCTTAAATGAAATATTTCTTAGCGTAGTGTCATCAATAACCCTAACTGCCAAGTCCAGCAAAAACTTCTCATGTCTTTTCTTAGTTAATCTCACTGACACATTCTGCACCACTAGCCATGTTCTGTTGAGCCATTCTGGCTTCAATCCTATCTGGTCCCAGGTACTCTCCTCTTGAAGTCCTTAATTGACTCTATTTTCTTTGTTTAGCCTTTAAATGTTGGTGTTTCCTAGGGTCTATATCTTGTTTCTCTTTATACGTTCTGAGATCTCTCTGAGCAATTTCTTCTATATGGCAATAATTTCTAAATCTATTCTCTCCAGCTGGAATGGCAACCCACTCCATAATTCTTGCCTGGAAAATTCAATTGACAGAGGAGCCCGGAGAGCTACAGTCCACGGGAATGCAAAGAGTTGGACACAGCTGAACAACTAACACGACTTTTTACACTTTTTTATGTATTGACAAGATTTTCATGTGTATTCTACATAGATTTGTCAAAAGCACCTCAAATCCAACATTTCCAAAGGAGAACTTATGGCCTTTGCCCATCAGCTCCTCTTCCAGTTGTAAATGCTGTGAAGATACGATAACTCACTCTTAAGTCCAGCAATGTATTACTATTAGAATGACCTCCCAAGGTATACCCCTAACTCCAAAATAGGCACCTTTATTCAGCAGCTTTATAGAGCCACATATTTATAAGCATGTTAAATTTTGTCTTTAAAAATCCAAGTAACTCATATGAAGGCAATTTGAGGTTATTATTACAAGTATGACACAAATAACTGATTTAAGGCACTAACTCGCCACCACTGTATAATTTAATTCAGATAGGAAAAGTCTGCCAAATTTCCTACCTATGCATAAATGTACTACAAAACTACAACTGTCCAACACAAGCCTGGACAGTGGAAGTGTAGAAGATAGATTTTAGCCAGTCCACAGGTACAATAGCCACGTTAGCTACTACAGAACAGAGATGAAGAAATGTTAGAACATGCTTTGCCAAAATGGGTTCATTAATGCTAATTCACTCTGTCATTTAATAAACAATCATTTAAAATATAATAGTAAACTCTTTCCTTGATGCACTATTTATAATTTCTTGTTAATGGAATAAGATTTTTATTTTATTATAGTCAGTTATTTGCAACTATATTTTATTTCAAGTGAATCAGTATTAGAGCAGTAGAGGAGGATTTTGAGTTAAAAAAGACTGTAGAAATATCTAATCCCAATTTCTCTTCAATACTGAAATCTATTTTACAGCAGTGGTGAATGAATGAACATCAAATCCATCCAGACTTCCATAACTTCAATATAGGTACCTTCACTATATCCTGAAAGCATTCTGATTTTGGTTTGACTGACTCTGAAGTTAGCAAATTCTCTCCTATATTGAGCTGAAATATTCTTCCTTAAACTTTTACCCACTGGGTAGAATCTGTCCTCCCTACTAACATAGAACAAATACATACTGACTTCCATGTGAGAAAGTACAAAGATGTGAGGCCTGGAACTGTGGCAGCTGTTTTATGACCATTAGCAGTTGATCAACAGAACTACAGAAATCTCAGTCCAGCACTCTTGCCATTGTAGAACTCCTGAATCTAACTTAAATCTAGTGACTTTCTGATTTTATTATGTAAAGAATAAAAGTCTTCCAGTTTAAGCCACTAATAATCAGGGCTTTTCCTGCTTGCAACAGAATACAATGGAACTTATACAGAATAGTTACAATTCAATTGTGCTTCTCTGGGGATTTGGTAATTTGCCAAGACTTTTCTTTTAGTGCAGGTCTCAGAATAGGTACTACTCCAAAAATCTGAGCAGAATTTATTAGTGCAAAGATATGAACACTTATCTATTAATGTAATCTAATATGTTGCTAGTGATTTAATACATGATCAATAGAACCTTCAGTTATTTACCTATGATGTGTGACATCCATGTATACCTTAAATTGATGCAACAGACTTTATTATATATAAATAAGCCTGTAATGAACTCAACACAACATAGAAATTACATTTCTCTTGAATGCATTATTATGTGTAGCCCAGTGACATTCTGCAATTGTTGACTTTAGGTGCTTTGTAAGAGGAGCAATAGGTTGCTAAGGGAGTAAAAGACGTTGCTAAGAAAATATAAAGACAAACTTTCTATCTTTTTGGATTATAAAAGACATATATGTATACAATGGAAAGTTTTCAAGTATGACTACATACATATGTGCATGTGTGTGTGTATTTTGGAAATATAGAAAATATGGAATTACAGAAATACCAAATCACTTAAACATGCCGGCATTTAGCAGATAGTTTCCAAAAAAGTTTTTTCCAGATCAGGGGGTTTGGGAAAGGGGGCATTAACCAATAGACCTGTGAGATCTGGGGAGCTCATATCACCTTTGGTTCCAGCTCTGATCTTAAAATACTAGAAAGAAAATGATGGGTCTCTAAGAAGGGGAACAAGTAAGTGACTGTGGTCACAAGGCTTTTGATTCAATAGCAAGCCCTGAGATTAGGTCCTTTCTAAGCTGTCCAACAGGTTTCCCTTGATCACGGGGAGAGGAGAATTCTGAACAACTTTTTTCTGAGCATGTAAACTGCGTTTGGATGGCCCTGAACTAAGCATGAGACATGAGGAATCTAAGCCAGCCTAGCCTTAAAAACTTGAATTTATAAGTAAAGATGGTACTCTCAAATGGATAAAATTAGGTGAAAACATAAACAAAAAATGTCTGGTTCCAAAAAGAAGAGGATGAGCCTTTTTTTTTTTTTCTTTTTAAATGATTCTAGTATTTCTGTTGCATCTAATGGCATACATCTGAACCTAGGCGATAAAGAACTCTATGCAGTAATGTTTTTTCCTGTTTGCTTGCAGTCATTAAAATGCATTACTAAATCCTTTCATTAAAAAAATGATATCAAATACCAAATCAGAAGTGTTAACTTCAAAACTCATTGAGCATCTCTGTGGTCACAATTTGCCAAATGAATCTTTCCATCAGAGGTATAATGTAAAATAGTAATAAAATGAAATTATTTTCCAGTGAGTGCTATTAAAGCAATGTTACAATTTATGCAGTAAAAACAAAGGAGCAACCAGTAATTATCTCTTAACTACCTCTGAAATTACGCTTCTGTTAAATATATTATTACACGTAGCACAGCGACAGCCTGCGATTGTTAACTCCATGTGAGTACTTTTTATAGAATAAATCAAAAACCAACGACTTCACAAGTGGTCATTTGTTTCTAGCAGAGTTTTGGGTTCTGTGTGGGTGTATGAAGCTAATTTCTATGACAAGGAAAACCAATTCAAGGAGAAGAAGGTCGACTCTGTACAAAAGCATCTGTATTTTTCATAGTCTTTACATATTCATATCTGTATCTTAGAAACCCCTGGAATATGTTCCTTTAGTGAATCTTATATAACTTCAGACTTGGTGGCAAGCCAAGGCCAAGTTGTTAGCACCAGTGATTGATTCGCTATTGCGGGACTGGAGGTCAAGGGTCAGGAAGAGTCCCTCATGAATAGCAACCACAGCAGCTACGAGGCGGCGAGAGTCCTGGGGTCACCAGGGATACTGGTGGCCAAGAGGGGCGTCTCTCCCACTCCCATCCCCCAGCACCTCCCACCTGACATCAGAATTGAAAGGTTTCTGCCATGTGCTGGGTGCAGTGCCTTTGGAATGTTTTCCTCTCCAGTAGAAAGCTGCTTTGTCATTACCTGCCACATCTTGGTCCAGATAAAATAAAGCCTACCCCTGCTTTAAGCAAAACCACAACATGACAAATGTATAAATTAAGAGATGGCAGGTCCTTTTTTTTTGCAACTGAAATATAGAATTCAAACTAAGAAGCAGGTAGCTCCATTCTAAGCTGGGCACTTAGTGAACAAGATATCTATTGTATCTAAGATTTCGAGGCCTGTGATAATGCTGAAGAAATAGGCATGGTTAGATAAGTGGTAAAGAATCTGCCTGCCAATGCAGGAGACACAGGAGACAGGTCCAATCCCTGGATTGGGAAGATCCCCAGGAGGAGGAAATGGCAGCCCAGGCCAGTATTTTTGCCTGAAAACACCCAAGGACAGAGGAGCCTGGAGGCTACAGTCCCTGGGGTTGCAAAGAGTCGGACACAACTGGGCACGCACTCACGAAGACTCTAAGTCATAGAAGGATTAAGACTTCTTCCAGAGCTCATACTATATGTAAGTAAACAATGGCAAAAATATATGTTAAGAGGTCACCTGGACACAGATGATGATGAACTAGACTGGGGTGATTGCCATGGAGACTCAAGAGTGACTCTGATGGAAGAATTGAGAGGAGCTGGGGAGTAACTAACTCTGGGGTCAAAGGAAACAGGATAGACCCAGTGTTTCTTGAACAACTTAGCGGGTAGTAGTGGCATTCACTAAATAGAACAGATTAATGTGAAATCTTTCAAGTCATGGTCTCTGCCAAACCATGAAAAATAATTTCATTTACTGGGTGTGCATGCTCAGTCACTTCAGTCATGTCAGAGTCTTTGCGACCCCATGGACTGTAGCCCACCAGACTCCTCCATCTGTGGATTTTCCAGGCAAGAATACTGGAGTGGGTTGCCATGCCCTTCTCCAGGGCAATCTTCCCAACTCAGGGATCGAACCTATGTCTCTTGAGTCTCCTGCATTGACGGGTGGATTCTTTTCCAGTAGTACCACCTGGGAACCTCCAATTTCAAGGAGTGAAGGATAAAATTTAGGGGCCCAGGGGAACCCCACTTCCAGCTCCTGTCTGAGCCCCTATCTTCCTAATGTAGCTCCTACATCAGACAGAGACAAGGAAATTCCATCAACAGAATATGGGTTTCTTTTTCCCATGACAAGACTAGCTCTTTTAAGAGATGGATACATACCCTGAAATACAGCAGCAAGCAGTCAGGTAGCTTTGCTGAAAGCATAGCCGCACTGAAATCAAGCTTCAGGAAATTATTCTGGTTAACATTTCTGGCCTCATTTATGTTTTTCTCCTCTTTACTATTACCCATGCTGATCTTTGCTGAAAAACCACATTCAAATATATGCCTTTCCAAGTTTAGATTTGGAGTTTACCTCTCTGAGTGTGCCAAAGCAAGTATCCATCAGCCTTCTTCTATAACCTGACATTCTTAGCCCTGTTCTCATCTCAGTATAAGCTTTGTTTTTGCTGAGTCTTCCCAAGTGTGTCCACTCTGGCCTTAGACCAGCCAGGCTCCCTGGTTCCGTCATGTCCCTAACTCTTAAACCATCTCCAATTATGATCCATCTGGAACTTATCAGTCCCTTTTCCAAGTTGCTACCTCAGCTCAAATCCAAGACTTTAGTGTGGTAACAAGGCAGTTACTAAATACCTCAACATATGTATTTTACTGTTAGACCACCTGGAATAATGTTATAATCATTGGTAGCCTCCCTAGTATTCAGTAACAGAATTTCTTGTAAAGTTTATAGCCCCCAAAATAATCAAGACTAATTTTTTTTATTAAACTATGAACTTAGCAAATGTGTTAACACTGTATAGTATCAATTCAGAGCATAGTGTGAAAAAAAATGTGTAATAGAATAAAACACATTTAGTGGCATAAAAGTTTCAAGGTTATTGAAAGCATGCAGAGTGAATTAAGATTTTATTTTTAAACACAAGAATACATACATAACCATAAAACACCTTACATACCTCCTTCCATCTGTTGGCTTTCCATGAAGGGCATCCGACAGATCTACAAGCTTTATGTGTTCGAGGTTTCCGTAGATGACTGCAATATTTTTCTTCTAATTTCCCATGGAATTGGTCAATGCAAAGCACCTCACGGTATTTTAAACCTTTACCACAGGAAGCTGAGCACTGGAAGATAAATATGAATGCACTTATTCATTTTATCTTGACTGATTTATCTATGAGAAGCGGGAAATGAAACAATCAAAACATCATTGCTTTGATATTTTCATCAAATTATACTTTGATATTTCCAAGGAGAGAATTTAAAATTTGCCAGTCTGCCCTAGACCATAAATCGATGTTGGTATCATAAGGTAATCATTTATTTTATAAAAAGTATTGATTATCTACCATACACCAAGCACTCTTCTGGCACATAAATGCTTTAGATCTTTTAAGGTTAAAGACTATCTGCAACTACCTACCATTACCACACATATTCCAATAAAAAACTTGCTTTCAATTTTGTACAGTCATGTCCTACTCTATTTTTAACCCTATATGTCTTGCCACAGTGCAAACTATGTTTTGAATGTTAAAAAAAAAACTCTCAATGTAGGAAAATATGAGAAAGCAGAAATTTTTTTTCAATGCATTAATTTACTTGGCAGCATTGGGTCTCAACTGTGGCAAGCGGGATCTTTCATTGCAGTGCACAGACTCTAGTTACAACACACGACTCTCCAGTTATGGCAAGAGGGGTTAGCTGTATCATAACGTGTGGGTCTTAGTTCCACGACCAGGGATTGAACCTGCATCTGCTGCATTGGAAGGCAGATTCTTAACCACCAGACCACCAGGAAAATCCTCCAAATTTATTTTTTTTAAGCATGATTCAGTTGATTTTTTTTTCTTTTAATCAATCTGGCAATGCTATCATTCCAACACAAACCCTCCAACTCTCAGGATGTTGATAATTTTCAGCATGATATATGCACCAGGGAAGAGTTAAGCTAAGAAGACATGGATTCCAGATAACTCCTGTCATTCTTCTGGGATAGCTGGTCACATATGGTTTCATTTAGAAACATATACTGAGTTCTGAGAACATTAGATAATATATTACGCATTTTATGTGTGAGTTCAAAGACTGCATATCTAATATAGACTATAAGTTGCCTAAATATTTTAAATTAAAAAATGAATAGTTTGAGGATAATTTACCTTTATTAAATTTGCAATGCTATTTCCCATTTGAATAGGCAATTAATTGAACTTGTTGCCTTGATTATTAAGACTTATTACCATGTCTGAGATGTTCTCTTGCCATTAACACCTACACCCTTATGTGTGACTTAAAACATTCTTAATTCTGTGTGAATTGCTAATGGATCTTCACAAATTGTATTGTGTTCATTCTTTCTTGCTATTGATCTTCTCTTTCATATCTACCTTTCTTTATGATGTACTTCTCCTGGCTGTTTATCTTAGCCACTTCCCTGCCTGCTTCTTGACTTCAGTGTTTATTTTTTCAAACAATATAACATATTTTGTACTTTAGTATAAAGTATGCTAAACTTTTAGTATAAAGTATACTAAACTTTTAAAAATCACATGCTGTTGAATACCAGGCATATATTATCAGGGAGTATACGTACATGTTCACAAATAGTACAGAGAACTATACTCAAAATTCTGTATTAACCTATAAGGGAAAAGAATCTGAAAAATAATAGATACACATGTATGTATAACTGAATCACTGTGCTTTACACCTGAAACAAATAGAGCATTGTAAATCAACTATACTTCAATTAAAAATATATTAAGCTGCATTTTAACACACACACACACACACACACACACACACACACAAAGAAAGCTTTTCTTCTCAGGTTCATATTATGTTTTCTAACTTTTCAATTGTGACCTTTTGAACAAAAGAGCATTCATGACTCTCCCTAAATATCCCTTTTAAACAGTAATCATCTGTGAATATTCATGATATGAATACAGCAATACTTACGGAAGATGGAAAAACATTTATTATTTTATTCTTTCTATGAATATTATTGAGTTTCTATCATATACCAAAAGTAGCATATAAATATAGACTCGTTAAACAACTCTTGCCTTTGATTTATCCTCAAAGTGCTTATAATCCAGATGACACATACCACCTATTAAATGAATAATGCCAGAGTACATCTTAAATAATATTACTCAGTAAAGATCAGAATAAAAATACAAGACAGTAAAAAACCATTAAAATAATACAATAAAATTTATGATTAAATTAAGACAATCATGAAAATTAGCCATTTCTTTATGGGATATTTGGAAAGCACTCAGGAAGATGTGATATTTAAACTCAGTCTTGAAGATGTAGGTTTGTTGATGGGCAAAGGTGGATGGTCTTATATATTTGTTTGATGTGTCTTTTCTATACATTGCCCTTGTATCTCCGTTTTTCAGCATTCTCATAGTTCTTTTATCATTGCCAGGAATCCAAGAATCTCACAGTAAACATGCAGTAAATTGTTGATATTTCTTATAAGAATGACCAATTCACTTACGAAACTATGTAACACAAGAGGAGACATTCAGCCAAAGATACTACTTTAGAATGAACAATGCATTTCCTCTATAAGCAACACCTTTGTATGGAACGTAAACTGTGACACTCTAGTTCACTACTAAAGTGAAGACTGGCTTCTCCTCCTCTAACTTAAAGTCTCCTTTGATTCTTTCTCTTCTTTGTTATTCTAATCTGTAACCAAGACTATCGTTAAACATAATTTTAAGCATACTGCTTTTTCTCTTTGCTCAAGAACTGACAATGCATCCTTATTGTCTTTAATAGTAAACCAAACTTACATTCTTCTTTGCCTTCTTCATCCACCAAATTTCAGTCAACATCCCTCTCCAATCTCATATTCTGTTTCTTTTCAACACACAACCTTTGCTCTAAGTGGGCATAATATGATTACTTTCCCTTTAAGGTGACATCTTCACTCACAACAATGCCTGATTGATATTATTTCCTTTCACCTGGACTACTCACTTGCCCTGGTGTTTCTAAATAGTATTTATCTTTAAAGCTTAAAGTCAACTCCATGGACACATATCATTCACTTCTCTGAACTCTTCTGTCTCACTCTCCTTTTAGCACCTCATCATTTTCTATTTTTGTCACATTCTTTATCTACCCAAAGTTTAATTCATTGCTTTTCTCTATTTTATGTCCCTGATACAATTTTATCTCCTTGAAGATATATTAACACTCTATAACTCATTTCCAGCATGCTTCTCAGATTTTTTTTCTTTAAAAATCACCTCTACACCTTTGACAGACAATCTCCTCCTGAGATTTTTCTGTAAATACTGTACAGGAGTAGTTACAGGAAGTGGTGACATTAAATACAAGTAACCTGAATTGACTATTCTTATAAGTTAGGTGAAGACACGTGCCTATTTAATGAAAACAGAACTTTTGAAACAAATGTAGAATTTGCAAGCCCTAAAAATGCAATGGAATATCCAGAATTGTGAAGGCTGGATGGCACATTCAATCCCAAAATGCACAGTTGGAATTAATGAGTCCATTCTCACATGATTAACTTTGGAAGTTGTATATAATTACAGAGTAAGATTCCTTCCGATATTATAAATGTGGACTATTGCTCTGTTTATTTACATATTAGGATACTATAGAAGAATAAATAGACAATTCGTGAGAAACTTGTTGATTAATTCTACAAACTTAAAGTGCAAGACAAAATAAAATAAGGAGATGAAGTTCACCTAGCTCCAGTTCTAGGAAATGGAAAACCATGGGGTGTGTGTGTGTGTGTGTGTGTGTGTGTGCGTGTGCACACACATTAGACTTTCGTAAATTTTAATGGTGATCTAGGTCTCTATCATCTCTGAAAGTAGTGGGAAGCAGACTGACACTGGGTTAATTAGTTTGTATCCTAATTAGAAAAAAAAATAGCCCTGAAAAGTAACTATTACACTGTACATTAGCCATGTGTAAATTGCCTTTTATTGACCACAAACTGGGTGACTTTAGGTAATTGTTTAAATCTCATTCAACCTCTATTTTTCATACGTAATATTAGTAAAAGAATAACTATTTCATATAAAGTTCTGGGTAAAGGTAAGGAATGGAGGAGGAAATGGCAACCCACTCCATTATTCTTGCCTGCAAACTGCCACAGACAGAGGAGCCTGGCAGGCTACATACAGCCCATGGGGTCACAGAGAGTCGAACACAACTGAACACATGTCATGACATGACACAAAGGTGAGGAGAAAGGGATTTTTTACACAAGAGAAATGGCCAAACTCAGAAAACTCTAAAGAATTTATAAAGCTACAGCAAAATGCAAAAGTAAATTAAAATTAATAAAGAATCCTGCAAAATATAATGTTGATTACATGAAGGACAACCTTGAAAATGTCTCTCATAATGTAAAAGAGAATGGGAAGATGACATAAAGAATATAGTTTCCTGGAAAATGCTTTAGTCATCCTCAGATCAGGACCTTTATACATGTCATTTCCTCTGATCCTAACACCTTTCTTCATTGCATCCCTATAAATTTTTCAGTGCTAAATTTTAAATCGCATTCCTTCTCTCCTTCGCTAATATCAGAGCCCAAACTAGATTAGGTGTGGCTGTTACACAGCTTTTATACCTCAATACTCAGTTACCTGTTCCATGTCTCATTTACCTGCTAGACTATAAATTCTCCTGGGAACAGACCTACTGTAGGAAATCATGAAAAATAGAAAGAACCCAGAATCACTTGTTTCTAACTAAATGTGTTATGAACTATTCTTCTTTTCAAAGGAAGAAGTTAATTCCTGTGTACCATGAACCATAGGTCTTCTAAAATAATAGCTATTTCACTGGTGGCACATGAGCTGATTTAGATGATATATTTTAAGTTTAATGCTTATTTTACATAGCAGTGGTCGCCCTCAATTTTAGCTAAGTAGATAAAAAAAAAGAACATAAAATTTGGCCTACTAAATAACAAGCAAAGTCAAAGTTAAGTGTAAGAATTAATTATTAATTATTTTAATTAAATTTGACTAGAAGGAGCCTGACAGACTACAGGCCATGGGGTTGCAAAGAGTCAGACAACACAGAGTGACTAACATACAATTTATAAATACAT